TTTCCTCCTGTCGTCTAGCAGTCACTCTTCTTCTCTTTGCAGGTGGACCATCTTGGGCTGTGGACTCAGACTCTGGAGGGAGGACTGCAGTGTGGCACAGGTGGACCATCTTGGGCTGTGGACTCAGACTCTGGAGGGAGGACTGCAGGTGGTGGCACAGGTACCATCTTGGGCTGTGGACTCAGACTCTGGAGAGTGGACTGTAGAGTCATCAGTACCTGTATGAACAAAGGGGAAAGAGCCAGTCAAGAAAAAAATCCCCATAGACAGCAAAGTATTAAGTAAGGTTTTTAGCATGATTGTTTATAGACGTTTGAGAATTTTTACATGTCTGACATGGTGGCCCTGTATTCTTTACTTTTTAGCATGCTTGTAAGTAAGTGTTAAGAATTGTACATTCTGACCTGGTGCCACTGTGTCTACACTTGGAGATACTGTGTCTTCATGCTGACTTCCTGATGTTTCAGTGGTACCTGTATAAAGGAAGGGAAAGAAGAAATGTGTACTCAGCTCTCCCATATGGATGTACATGGGCACATTATTTTTGCAATGTATGTACTACATATACATTATTAATATGTTTGTTCCATTTTTATGTAATCAATACTATCATACAATGTAATTATGAATGTAATATACTATGTAGTGGCGGTATACATTTCTATATTTCTACATTTTTATCTATTTCATTTCACTCCATGTCCTTGATCTTCCGTGCGTCCGACGTGTGTTTGCGTTCTTCCTGGGCTTGGTCCATTCTGCTGGTTTTGATGTACAGGACTTGTTTGTGACCCCGGTTGCCCATGCGTGGTCCATCTTGAACAGGACACCTGCAACATGGTTGCATGTGGATCCTAACTGTAAAAAAATATTTTGAGTACTATTAAACATTTGTCCTGACTGAGTTTGGATTATATTATCAACTGAACATGAAAAAAATACAAGTGCCATTACAATATTCTGTAGGACTAATTGCAACAAGTATAGTATAGTACTAGTGCATATTTAAGTACTAGTGCTATTGTCCTAGCTGGAACTTAAAATGGTCCAACATGCACTTGCAAATGAAAAAAAAAAGATTTCTAAAAGTGCTTGATTCAAATGTTTATTGATGTTTTCGCACTATATGCTATACAATACATGCTAGTTACTAATAGTTAGTCCACTACTTTGTAAGTCATTCAATTATTTGCCATGTAATAAAATGTCTATTGATGTTTATACAATACATGCAGCTTATGTTGGCCTACTACTTTGTGAACTGTCTGATTATTTGCCCTATAAGAAAAAAAATACATAATTTGTCAATATTACCCAGCAAAGCAGCTGCAGTACGCTGTCCGGATTTTCCCAGTTGATTTTTGGAGTGCGACCCTCACTCGGTGTGCCTCATCATTTTTTCTCTGTGATCTGCCACTGGTTGATTTTACAAAGCAAACATTTTAATTCTCATTTATTGGATGATACAAAACTTCATTGATGAAGCCAGAATCAAAGTACGAAAATGCTTTGCCATCCTTGTAATCCCCCATTAGCCTCTTCTGCAGCTGTACCTCTCCATTAGCCACAAGGTACTCTGCCATGTCCCCATACATTGTTGGTGGCCAGTGCTGCATCCCTTCTTCCTCTTTCTTCCAGCCACTTTTCAGGTCAACAAAGGGGTCGGGGAGTTGTCTGCCATCCACAGTCAAAAGTGATCTGTAGTCTTCGCATCTAACAAAATAAACAGTATGATGTCAATCATAGAGATCAAATCAATGTGGAGATGAGTTTGAAATATATCGTTGGTCCCTAAATGAAAAACCGTTCTGGTTCATTTCTAGACTATTCTGTATAAATATTTATCAGATGCAACAATGGATGCAAGTATAATTTATGTAGGTGAATTTGGAACTCGTTAGGTCCCCTTCGTTACTACATTTTCTAGACAAGTAACCTTACATGTTCAAACAATGCCTAGAGTTCTATGTACAAAACAGTCGTAGTAAAATCGCCCATGCACACGATGAAGGGTGGTTATAAGGACTACACAAATACAGACATGGAAACCCTTATTTACACTTGGACATGTACAAAGAACAAGGAAAATCACCTCTTTTGTTGTTCTTCCTCGGGAGTCGGAACCAACGGATGGCGCATTACTGTGGCTGAAAAAGCTAGGGCCCTGAGTTCATGGACGCTACCCGTCACCGGAAGTCCCCTCGCTCGCAAAAAAGGCTGCAACTGGCGTTTTGGCCAAAGTTTAAAGTCATCCAGCGATGTTTCTGCATCTGGCGTGATTGGAACGCCAGCCATTGTTTACATCCGAAGTGACACTGAACCTTGACCCGGACCACAATGCATCGCGCGCGCACATGCGCAGTCGGAACTGCGAGGAGGCTTATTGCACAGCTTGCACTGGTTTATACGCACCATGTCTAGCCCATGTGTGATTTTGAACAGCTGTATCACGTCTGTTCGCTGCCTTCTGTAGTACAGCGTTGGTAGTCCCAGGACTGCTAGCCTTTCCGAATATGAGAGGTGGGCTATACTTGACACTAGCTTTGTCGCTCTGCGCTGTACCCTTTCTAGCAGATCTCTGTCCCTCTTGGTTCTGGGTGACCATACAGCAGTAGCGTACTCCAGGTGTGGGCGGACAAGGCTCTTGTATAGCAACATGAAAGAGTCCTCATCCAGGTACTTAAAGGTGTGTTTGATAGTCCCCAGTACTCTGTTGGCCTTGTTGACCTGGGTTTGTACATGGCTGCTGAAACTCAGTTTGCTGTCAATTAGTACACCCAAGTCCTTTTCTTCCTCGATGCACTCTATCCTGTGCAGTGTACCATCTGCTTTTGACATGGTGTATTCATGACGAGGATTGTTTTTCCCAAGGTGTAGAACCTTGCATTTATCCGGATGGAACCTCATTTGCATCCGATCTGACCATTCTTGGAGTTTTCCTAGGTCGGCTTGCAGACACTCACTGTGGGAGTTCTCTTCACATTCTTGTGCCGCTGCATATACTTTGGTGTCATCAGCAAAAAGTGATACAAAGTTTTTTAGCTCTGCGGGGATATCACTGACAAAGATCATAAATAATAGCGGGCCCAGAAGCGACCCTTGCGGAACTCCGCTGGCTACATGCTTAGGGCTGGATGCTTTGCCGTTCACCACGACTTGTTGCGTGCGGCATGTGAGAAATGTTCTTATCCACTGCAAAAGTTTCCCCACAATCCCATGTGACTCAAGTTTCCTTGTGTGTACATAATTGCAAAGAAATTTAATTTTATGCAAACATACGGTGTTCCTTAACATACGTTCTTGATGTACGTCAAAGCAAGGAAGTTTAAGTTATATATAACGTCCTTGTATGTGCCCAGTGCGGAACCCGTTAGTCTTCACTGCCCTTGCTAATCTCATACGTTTTCTCCAGATGCGAGGCCCACGCCCCACCACCCTGCGTGCCGTGTTTGAGGAGTGTCAGAAGGGACATCAGAACACCACCAAGCTGCTGGCAGCGCTCAAGAACATACACGCTACTGTGAGTAAATTATCAACCATTTGGGTCATATATAAATAAAGTTTATCATTCTGAACTCAGCTACTGTTTTGTAACACATACAAAATGGACTGTTCCAAAAAAAATTTGGAGGGGGAGTTGAAGAGCTTGGATTTTCTACTTTCTGACTCCCCTTATTATTTATCTGAGTGCCTTGGCCCCCTTAAAAATTTTATCCAAGTGACTTGACCCCCTATAATTTCATCCAAATCCAGGGTTTGCTTCTTATAAACTTCAAATCCAGAGCAAATTTACAAATCCAGAGTTTGGGACTGCCTGTCTGGTCTCGCCGCTCAGGCGACATGGGAACATACTGTGTCCTGTCAATCCAAATCCAACAAAATCCACACCCACTAACCCCCTTTAAAATCTGACCCTTTCAACCCTCCATCCTCAGTTATTTTTTTTTAACGGTCCAATTTTGCCTGTTACTTTACTGTTCACTGTTACTGTTAGTTTGGATGTGTCTGACCCTTTCTGTGTTATATTCCCAGTACCCAAACCCTGACCAGTTCCGGGCAGAGTTCATCCACTACCTCAAGCACTCCCTGGTGGTGTTTCGTCGCGAGCCCGCGGTCGAGCGGACCCTGGAGTTCGTCGCCAAGTTTGCGGGATCCTTCGCGACCGATGGTGGCAGTGGCAGTGACGAGGAGAAAGAGAACACAGGAGGGAACAGGAAGTTTCACATGGACCTGTTCGACTTCCTGTTGAAGGTAAAGTGGGGCTAGTAATTTTAAAACTGAAGACAGAAGTTTAAATCATTGGTTGACTAGCAAAATCTGTCATCTTCATCAGCGCAATTACAACTGGTTGTCCTAATGAAGACAGCAAATGGACATCATTGGAATAATTTACACAAGTAAATCTGTAATTCATTTTATGTTCATGGTAGCAAAAGTTCACGGTCTGAGAAAAATATTCATGAAACTATAGTATGTACAGTGTGCACGGTGGAAATAAAGAAAGAAATACAGCAAATTTTATGCTAACTGTAATGATATTGATAAGTTCGCTGTGCAGAATTGACCATGAAAACCATGAACAAAACACACAGCTAATTACTAGTAATGTATGGGTGCTCTGTAGTTGGACCCCTGAAGTTATATGTATGGGATTAATATCTTAATCTTGTCTTCACATCCCAGTCCCACAATGCCAACAGCCAGGCCGTGCGCTTCCGTGCCTGTCAGCTCGTCAACAAGATGCTGAACGCGCTTGGCGAGGATGCGGAGGTGGACGATGATCTGTACGACCGGATCTTCGAGTGCATGCTGATGCGCCTGCGGGACAAGATCCCCGCCATCCGCGTACAGGCTGTGCTGGCGCTGACTCGACTTCAGGACCCTTCAGATCAGAGCTGTGCTGTTATCACAGGTAGGGTTTTATATATTAATTATACAATGGGGTAATGTACTGAGGTATAAGAAATGTTCATGTATAGGCTGTCCTGGCCTTTTTTGTGAGGACCAATGTGAGCTAGGGACATAAATTTTTCGAGTTGATCTTGACCCTTTCTAGCACCTGAGTGATGAAATGTTGTACGATCAGTTTTCCAAACACTGACATATGACTCAGGGCTCGAAATACCCGGTGGCGCACTGGCGCGGCGCCACCTGATTTTGCTTGGCGCCACTTATTCCTAAACTCAGGTGGCGCAGCGCGCCACCTATAATTTGCGTGGATCGAGCCGCTAATCGCATGGATCGGGCCCCATTGTCGGCACAATCTTGTGAATTGTCGATGAATTGTCGATCTCGCCATGACGCCACAAAGAAAACGTTCTCATTGGTAGAAAATCAGACACCTCGCTGGCGTTTCACAACACAATTTTCATGTAAACAACTCCGACTGTCCTTGTTTACATGCAAAGCGCGCCGATACAAAATCCTGCCGGCCGCCCGACCGACCGCATGCGACGCTAAGTTTTCGGCGGCTCGGCGGAAAAATTATTCATCCCCAGAAGAAATTTTACGCATGAAAATAACAACTACAACTTGTTTTCGTCGTTATATGAGTTTCTGAGGCCGTAAAATGTTAAAACGGTTGAAATTTGTCGGAAAAAACAGCTCGAAAGACAGAATGAAAATGGCCGACGCTGCTTCCAACAATGTGGTCAAAGGTGAAGATAGCATCCAAGCGTCCAAGATACATGTACTAGTATTACACGCATGAAAAAATTTTTTCGGCAACGACAGAAATAAAAATTCACTCGTATTTTTAAAAGGTTAATTTGTAAACATTACCGTGAAATTTTCCGAATTTATTGGTTTCTAGTGTCAGAATATAATGTTGTTTCTGTGAATGTGCGGTTGGATGCTGTGGGGGCTTTTACAATTGGGAGAATCAGATATTAAGAGCATGCTTTCTTTCTTTCTTACTTTCTTTATTGAGTGTCTCTAATTTTTTTTTAGTATGAGTTTATAGACATAATCACATTTTTATTTGTTCAGCTGTGTCAATATGTGACTTTGTTTGGGAAATATGATTGGGCTAAAAAGTTTGGTATATATTAATTATGTCCGTAACACCTTAGGAATACTTGCTCCAAGTTCCAGGTAATAAGTACATGTACAATTTGTATCATGTATTTTTCACTTGTTGAACTTGTGGAAGCACCGTTGGCCCCCGGTTAGGGGTCATCCGGGGAACCTATGCCCAATTTTTTTTTAAATCAAGGGAGCTAATACCATTTTTTATTAGATTTTGAAGATTTGTCCGGGGGGTATGTTTATTCCGGGGGGTATGTTTATTTGGCAGATGAGAGTAACATTATCCTTGCGCAAACGAAGAACATGGCGCACGTAACACCACCCGCATAAGTGTGCCGCCATGTAGAGGCGTGGCA